TTTGTATTCAAAGAACCCTGCATATATAAATAATGTATTTCTTGAGCAGCAAATCAGCATATTAGAATGATTTCTGAAGGATCATGTCACACTGAAGACTGGAGTAATGATGCTGAAAATTCAGCTTTTTTTCATACCAATTGCATTTCATATAAATTCCTACCATGAACACAATTAATTGCACGTTCAGTATGCACTTGACTTGAGCATATTATTCGACATCAAAGGAATAATTTACATTAAAATATATTCTGATAGAAAACATGTATTTTAAACTGTGATCATATTAAAGCAGAAGCAGCCTTGGTGAACATAAGAGACTTTTTTCAAACTGACTATAATAAGCCACATTCCCTCTAGAATGATGAAATTGATCAGTTTACAGATAACCCTGAAATACCTTAACAAGACCTGGAGTAAGCACATGGAGAAAACACCCTTAGAAGAATTCCTCATGGATTACTGAAGTAAAGCACTTCCATGTTTCCTGCTTCAAATCCATTAATAAGTCTTAAATGGAGCAAGCACAAATAAATCAATGCTTTCTTTAAATAAAGAAACTTCTAGAATGAGCTTATTGTGTCAATGCCTTTATTCTGCACTTCTTTGAAAGAAACCGGTTCTGTGAAGACGTCTATTGGTCATCAGCTGCTGTTCATTGTAAATCTGGGTCATGTATAGTCAAGCAGCAGTTAAGGGAAAGTGCACCTAAACAGCAACACTAAATACGGCATTTCAATGTACAGCCTCTAAATTTAGCTCTAGCATTTGACCAGCGCTGCTACAGTGAGTGACTCTGAATCTCTAACGGAAGTACAGAGCAGAGAGGTAAACCGATGCCAAGACCAGACAATTGTGCTCCCTGAAGAGGCAACAGCTATAATTAACTTTCACTTGACCAGCCCCCTCAGTATGACCTCCCCGAGGTCTCCAACAGCCTTGTGATCATTCACCGGCACCTCACTTTCTGCTTGACAACATTAGCACCTTGTCCACTTCAGAAGGAGGAATAATTGGCTTTGCACCGTCCCCAAAAACCTGCTGGTCTTTGACCATGTTGACACCAAATAAACATTTCAGAACAACTCAGAATGCCAATAGTGACAAAACAAAACACGATTGTTTCCATTATAATCAACGGAGACATCACTTTACTATGAATTAATTGCTTTGAGCTGTAATCATAACATATTTAAATAATCCATCATAACATCAAGACAAATAATCAAAGTACTCTGGGTGTTACTTTTTCATAGCTTCATTTGATTCTCAAACCCTTGTGGAAAAGAGGTGCACTTAATTATATTTAGTTTAAAGTACAAATTTAATAAATCTTTAATAATCTATTTTTATGATTAAACCCTTAAATGCATGAATGTTTCACCAATCATTATTACATATCCGGGTCTTTAGCGACCCGGACCTATATATCCAGCACGGAAGGACCTCTAACTGCTGCAATAGCAAAAAATGATCTTGATATTTTAAGAACAATTACAGAAGAATAACATGAAGAATATTTCATTTCCTTTTGAAACTTAAAAGGGTTCAATTTGAGCAGATGATTTTACCATCGCTGTCATCGTCAGAGCGAACTTCCACAGTACATTCAGCATCTGGCTCATATCTACGATCTCAACCATATTCTCAAAACTATTGTTTTCAATGACTTCGAGAGAATGATGTCCCGGGTCGCTAAAGACCCGAGGTATGCATTTAAGGGTTAAAGAAGTACACTTATTTTGATGTGCTGACTGAACATCCTAAAGCACATGTAAAGTACTTGATTATCATTTTCAATAAGGTTAATATTAGAGGTCGACCGATAGTGGATTTTGCCGATACCGATAGCTAGGTTGGACCACACTGGCCGATACCGATTAATTAACCGATAGTTTTAAAATTGATACTG